TTTTTTTCTTTGAGATGAATTCTCATTCTGTCACTCAGGCTAGAGTACAGTGGCACAGTCTCAGCTCACTGCAACCTCCACCTCCCAGGTTCAAGTGATTCCCCTGTCTCCATATCCCACATAGCTGGAATTACAGGTGCCCGCTATCATGCCCAGCTAATTTTTGTATTTTTAGTAGAGACGGGGTTTCACCATGTTGACAGGCTGGTCTCGAACTCCTGAATTCAAGTGATTCTCCTTCCTCAGCCTCCCCAAAGTGCTAGGATTATAGGCCTGAGCCACTGTGCCGGGCCTATTTCTGTAGCTTTTGATAAGTCATTTGGTCTGCTGGTGTTTTCTCGTAGTAACAAAGTAGAAATAATTTCCTGTCTTGTTTACTACATAAATTAAGGTGGAAAAAATAAGACATGTAAAAATGTTATTTGCTGTTAAAAAAGAAAGTTGCTGTTTTAAAGGTTCTATAAATACATAGAATGCTTATTAGAAATCGAGCTAACACATTCAGGAAATCATAGGAAGAGTTTATTGAAGTTCTTTGTTTAGGCATTCTTGTGTACCAATAACACAGTTATAGAGCAAACTCATAACGTTTTTATATTTCTTTGTAGTTTGACTAAGCTTACTGGCTTGAATGATTAACTGTTATCCCAAATATTGATTATCTTTCAGCCAGCTCAGGGAATCACTGCTACTGAGTAGTGTATGTCAGATTTCATGGGTGTGCTGGAGTGGGTAAAAGGGGAATGAATTAACTGTGTTCATGCTGAGACTTTTAATTGAACAGGTATTCAGTTGATCTAGGTGGTGGGTACTTTTCTACTTACATTGTAACAAATTTGTATATTTACTTGCTTTAAAAATTTATTTCATGCTTTCATTAGGCCCTGTGAAAAAGGGTAAAGAACAAAACACACAGCGAAGCTTTTTTCTCAGAATGAAGTGTACCTTAACTAGCCGAGGGAGAACTATGAACATAAAGTCTGCAACATGGAAGGTAAGTGAAAATGATTTGTGATTGATGATACACTTTATTTATACATAGACATTGTAGTATTAAGATAACTTTAGAATTGTGAGGGAAAGTTTACAGTTCCTTGGTGTTTATATATGTAACATTTATACTTTCAGCTGATTTGCATGTGATCTCCAAAATCCAGAACCATATAGTAATTTGCCAATTTGAGGCACAAACTTAAATTATGTGAATTGTGGCACTGGTATACCAGCCTTATCTAATCAGTTGGCTTTGCCAACCACCCAATATTTGAATCCTGATAGGGCTTAATTTTCTATTAATCATTGTTTTGTGTCTTTGTTCAGTGTTAAAACATAGTCATCAGAGCAAGAAATAACTATCAAACAGCCAGATGATGAGATGAATGAAAAGACAGCCTAGACTTTATCCGAGGGGAATTTTTTAAAGAGTAATTTATAGGCCTGGGCAGGAAGTAGGTCATAGGTGGTATCATAGGAAAAACATTTATTGATTTTGAAAACAAGGTTAATTTACCAGTGACAGTAAAATTTATCAAAGCATACTGGCCGTATCAGACTCAACTGCTCGTCTCTGCTTTTTTTCCCCCAGCATTGTAAATACATTTTTTTAAATGTTTTGTTTTCTTCTTCATACACAGGTATTACACTGCACAGGCCATATTCATGTATATGATACCAACAGTAACCAACCTCAGTGTGGGTATAAGAAACCACCTATGACCTGTTTGGTGCTGATTTGTGAACCCATTCCTCACCCATCAAATATTGAAATTCCTTTAGATAGCAAGACTTTTCTCAGTCGACACAGCCTGGACATGAAATTTTCTTATTGTGATGAAAGGTAAATTAGATCTAAAATGTGAATTTGAAATTTTTAATTAGTCTACAGCATTATTGAATATTCACCGTAGTAAAGATTTAATGTTGGCCATGTGTGGTGGCTCACACCTGTAATCCCAGCACTTTGGGAGGCTGAGGAGGGTGAATCACTTGAAGTCAGGAGTTTGATACCAGCCTTGGCCAATGTGGTGAAACCCTGTCGCTACTAAAAATACAAATATTAGTTGGGCATGGTGGCAGGCATTACTCGGGAGGCTGAGGCAGGAGAATCACTTAAACCTGGGAAGTGGAGGTTGCAGTGAACAGAGATTGCACCACCACACTCCAGCCTAGACAACAGAGTGAGACTTCATCTCAAAAAAAAAAAAAAAAAACAACAACTCAGTTTTAAACTATGCTTTCTACTAAATTGAACAGAATGATACATCCTAGAACTTACTAATATTAGATTAACTTTGTAAATTAATTCAGCCACATTTATTGAACACTTAACTGTACTGTGAATGCTTACTTTACTAAGTGCTATTTTTTCCCCCCAATAGGGGCTCTGTTAAGAGAGAATTTCAAAGACATAACAGTGTATATTTTGAGCAAAGATAGATTACCTTAGGTTGGGAACTAGAAAGCCAAGTGTTTGTATATCTCATCATCCTATATATCTTCCCTGAAAAGCTTCAACCTTGCCCATGGTTTCTATCGCCATTTCTCACATTTCTTTTTGTAACTAATTCTATTTAATGCCAGCTTACTATTTGTATCTGGATATTCTTCTGTATTGTAAACTAAATATTTCTGTAATTGAACTGTACCACTACTGCTCCAAAAAACATCATCAAAAACTGCTTTTCTTCGTATAACACTTACCTCGTAGTTAATACACCACCATGTACACGTGACTCCAGCAAAACTTTGGAAGTCATCTTTAACTTTTCTTTTACCTTCATTTTCTACGTATAGTTGATCTCTAAATCTCACAGATTTACTATCCACTTATATCTCTTGATCCATTTCCTCCTTTCCATCCTTGCACTCCTGCCACTGAATTCATTAGCTCATTATTACCTTTGACTTGAGCTGTTGGCTTAGCTGCCTTTTTGCCAACAGATTTGTACCCTTGTAATCTTTCATCCAAGTTGCCAGAAAGTGGGTGTCCTAATGTGAAAATCAGATCATGTCACTCTCTTGTTAAAAATGCCTCAAATGCTTCCCTTCATCTTTGCACACAAAATTGTTTATAAAAATAATAGATGAGGGAAGTAAATTTTCATTTATCAAAAAAAGATGTGCATTTTAAAAGACTGAAAGACAAATAGACCTACACAATAAAATCTAAACTTAGCATGGCAAAAAAAAGATATTTATAATCTGGTCCTTATCAATTTTTCTATATTAATCAGGAGGAAGGGTCACCACTTATTCTGATGTGGCCCCCACCACCCTATAGCTAGAAAGTTCCCCATGCTGTTTTAATGTCTTAATGCAGGGGTCCCCTAACCCCAGTACTGGTCCACAGCCTGTTAGGACCCCAACTGCATAACAGGTGAGTGGTGATGAGCATTCCCACCTGAGCTACGCCTCCTGTCAGATCAGAGGCAGCATTAGATTCTTACAGGAGTGGGAAACCATTGTGAACTGTACACGAGGGATCTAGTTTGTGCATCCCTTGTGAAAACCTAACTCAACTAGTGCCTGATGACAGTTTCATCCTGAAACCATCCCACGCCTATCCGTGGAACAATTGTCTTCCACGACCTGTCCCTGGTGCCAGAAAGGTTGGGGACCACTTTTTTAGTTCTTTTGCACTACTTTCTTTCCTATTCTGTAATAAAGTTTTCTTCACTTCCCAACACATACTTACCTTCCAAGAGCGTCTACTCCTTTGTAGAGCTTTCCCTGTTCCTTCCAGAAGAAACTGCACTGTTCCTTGTACATACCTTTTGTAGCATTTACTCTACTATTGTAGTGCTTGTCTCATTTTTTACTGTAAGGCTATACAGGTAGTGCTCGACTTACAACCACGATTGGTTCCGACAGACCGGTCGTAACACGATTTGGTCGTTAAGTTGAGTAGGCTATATGCACGCGGAGATGGTAGTGCTGCCGGAAGCTGATCCGCACTGTCGTACGCCCAGCTGGGCAACGTTTGCGATGCGGAGCAGTCGTGGCTAGTGATTGTGGTCGTAAAGTCGAATGGTCGTACGTTGCATAGGTCGTAAGTCGATCAATACCTGTATAATACAGTAGCTGAAGGGGGCATAGGTTCTGTAGCCTGACTGCCAAATCTTGGCTTTGCTGCCTATATCCAAATGATCTTGGACATGTTAGTTCTTAGTTCTTGTCTGTGAGCATCAGTTTCTTCTTAATATTAACTTGAAGATGTTATGAGAAAACCAATTTTCAGCACTTACCATAATATAAAGTAGACAAGAAACCCCCACCCCATTGGACAAGGAAATATGACAGAGCAATGTCTTTGGAATCACATAATTTTAGATGCACTCATGGCTTGCATCTCTGATACTTATAATGTGGCCCTTGCCTTGGTACTTAACTATTGTAAAAATCACGTTCCTTATCTATAAAATAGTCATGGCTGGGTGCAGTGGCTCATGCCTGTAATCTCAGCACTGTGGGAGGCCAAGGCAGGCAGATCGCCTGAGGTCCTGAGTTTGAGACCAGCCTGGCCAACATGGTAAAACCCCATCTCTACTAAAAATACAAAAATTAGCAGGGTGTGGTGGCACATGTCTGTCATCCCAGCTACTCAGGAGGCTGAGGCAGGAGAATTGCTTGAACCCGGGATGCGGAGGTTACAGTGAGCAGAGATCACGCCACTGCACCTCAGCCTGGGAGTTCATACCTCAGAAGGCTGTTGTAAGGATTAAAGGAGTCTATTGAATGCCTAGGGCGTGTCAACTTTAAGAAAATGAATATAGAAAAGCTAAGTACTATTTTAAGGTGTTTACTGCCAGTATTCATGTCAATGTATGATGGAACAGAGATGTCCATCCTATTTTGAGGAATTATTTTTTATTTTTTTTGAAATCTTAAGGTAACAAAGTAGAGGTGGGGGCCAGGGAGAAAGGAAGGTAATGGGGCAAAAATGAGAAAGGGAGTAGCGTTCTCCTCTAGTTATAACAGAAAATTAGGAAAATGATCACGATGGGAGTTAACAGTAAAGATAGCCAGCTTATAGATCAACCAAGACAGTTTTGAGTTTGACCAGCAGACTGTTATTTTCTGGTTTAGAGCTCTTTACAGGAACTTCTCACATCTATAACTCCTGAGAACAAAGCTGTAGAAAAAAATTTTGCTCAATTTTAAGAAAGTCTAACATATCAGCTCCTAAAATCCAAAATATTCCACAAGTAGCTGCTATTTACTGTACTGAGGAATAATTCATTTAAATTATTTGAGTATCTACTGTGTTTATGGTACAAAGTAGAACAGTTCTGCCTCAAAACAAATGAGTGGTATACTGCTTTAGATCACAGGTTTCCTAGTCCATTAAAAACACTTTTTGATCATATTTTCTGGACACCCCCACCTCTTTGGTACAGGATGGAACCTATTTAATTCTCTAAAGTTATATTAACTTCACCTTTCTTGCTTCAATATGTGTAAAATTGACCTTCAGGGAAAGCATATACAGTTTATTTTTCACTTCTTGGCATCTCTTAGTGATAGACATAACTCAAATTGAGAAGCATTGATTGACATCAGATTAAATCAGAGCTTCCTACGACAATATAAGCAAGACTGTCATTAATCTGATCCCCCTACCTACCTCTTCAGCATTATCTGATCTGTCTCCGCTAACCATATTATAGAATCTTTGTTACCTGTACCATGTTAAGCATTTTTAAAATTCTTTTGCTTATACTATACCTTTTCCCTGAAAGTGGTTTTGCCTTTCCTTTGTCTCTCTCTAGTCATAAGTCTTCTATAAGAGGCTGTTCCTCATTCTACCAATCCTTTGCATGGATGCGATTGATTTCTCTGATTCCTGGAACAGATTCTCATCACTCTATTTATCTTATTATTTCCTAAGTAGTACCAGCACATCTATTGCAAGATTAGCCACGTGTTCAGTTTTGTCTTAGCATTTTCATGCCTAGAATAATGCCAGGCACACGTAGGCATATTAAGATTTGAATAGTGAAAAAGTTTTTAATTCCATAGGAATTTTATTTAAATAGAAAAATATAAGACCAATTAAAATTATTTTTTAAAGCATGATTTCAAGAAATATGACTGATATTGATTAAAAACAAGTTTTCCTTTATAATGCTGCCACCTGGTGTTGCTGTGTTTACAGATGTCCCTTTGTAAAGAATTGAGTGAGGGTTTAAGTTGAGTTTGGTTTGGTTTTTGGCAAATCAGCTTTTCATTTATGTATTTATTTTGCAATAAACTATGGAAGATCTTGCCTTTTAAGTGTAAGAACACAAGCAGTGTTACTTTTATACCTTTATAGAATATCTTGCCTATGTCCTTCCTGTAGTTAGGTAGAGTTTTTTTGACATAAAGCATGTTAACATAAGGTTTGCTTGCACCTCAGTAAGAAAGTCCTCTGAAATCTAAAGGCTGATAATCTAGAAGTTTAACTCACGTTTCCTCCTAGAAAGACTTCAGATGGGCCGGGCGCGGTGGCTCAAGCCTGTAATCCCAGCACTTTGGGAGGCCGAGGCGGGTGGATCACGAGGTCAAGAGATCGAGACCATCCTGGTCAACATGGTGAAACCCCGTCTCTACTAAAAATACAAAAAATTAGCTGGGCATGGTGGTGCGTGCCTGTAATCCCAGCTACTCAGGAGGCTGAGGCAGGAGAATTGCCTGAACCCAGGAGGCGGAGGTTGCAGTGAGCCGAGATCGCGCCATTGCACTCCAGCCTGGGTAACATGAGTGAAACTCCGTCTCAAAAAAAAAAAAAAAAAACTTCAGATGAGTATTTCTGTTCAGAATGGTACTAAGAAGATAGCTTTCTCTTTCTCATGTCATAGTTGCCATTTCACACTGGTTACAGAGAATAAGATCTAGTCTGTGTCCTAAATAAAGGTCTAGTCTCTGCCAGTAAGCTAGATAGAGTAACTAGATTGTCTTCCAGTCTATTTTCATTTGAAATAATGTTTTGTATGAAATTATTCCCATAATTTCATGTGATGTCAAAAACTAAGTACAAGAGCATCTTCTAAAACCAACGTAATTCCTTTAGTTTCCATTTAGTGTAGATACTCTTTGGTTGATGATATTAGAATTGTGTAGTGGCTATTGATCTCCCAAAGTCAGGCATTGCCTAGGGGCTTAACAGCTACTCCATAAAGAATTTGGCTTTATGAAAAAATAATGTTATAGATTTTATCTACATTTTAAATTGTCAGTGACTACCTTTACAACTTTTACCATTTAATTTAGTAGTACTTCTTGTCTGTTTATTAATACCCTGCCTTGTTACCAAAAGTGTGTATAATGAGATGTGATAAAAATAGGTAATAAGTTTGGGTGAAGAGGATAAAAGAGTTAAATAACCAGATGAACCTCGAAGACTTAAAGAAATGTGTGGTGTTGCATTTAATAACATATAATTTAATAATAGAGCTACTAAAGGTGAGGTGTAAATTTATTGTAAGCAAAGGCGGATGCTCTTTATTTTTGAAAATTCACTTATCTGTAAGATGAATGCCTATTAGTTAACTTGGGAGAAGAAAAATTTTTATCAGTTAGTATCTCCCTTTTTTTCTTAAATCTTGTATTTTTTACTAACAGAATTACCGAATTGATGGGATATGAGCCAGAAGAACTTTTAGGCCGCTCAATTTATGAATATTATCATGCTTTAGACTCTGATCATCTGACCAAAACTCATCATGATAGTAAGTACAATGGAAGAACTCAAGAGATACTCTAATTATTTAACTGTTGGAGCCTCTCTACAGTTTGGCTACCCATCTAATTCTCTGGTTAAAATGTACCCAGTTTTCCTAGACAAAATGTGTTAACAGGCCTATTCAGTAGACATCTTGGCCATTTTATGTTTTGTATTTGTTGCAACAAATAGTAAAAATAGAATCATTTAATCACAGATGAAACTTCCTGGCATTTTAAGTACAAAGACTTTTGAAAAGCCAAATATTATAGAGTATTGAATAGCATAATTTTCAGAATTCACATAAATACTCAGAAAAAGAGTGGTATATAAAAGGCACTTAGAAAATATTTGTACAATCAATGAATGTGAAGGTGGTGGACATCATGCACATGTGGTAATAAGTATCACTTTTCAAAAATTTTAATAGGTACATAGGTATGTATATTTTTAGGTTACGTGAATTATTTTGATATAGGCATGCGATGCGATTTATAAGGATAAATGGAGTACCTAAAACCTCAAGCATTATCTTATGTGACAAACAATCCAGTTATACTCTTGGTTATTTTATTTATTTATTTTATTTCATTTTATTTTTTTCTTTTGAGATAGGATCTCACTCTGTCACCCAGGCTGGAGTACAGCGGCGTGATCTTGGCTCAGTGCAACTTCTGCCTCAGCCTCTCTAGTAGCTGGGATTACAGGCATGTGCCACCGCGCCTGGCTAATTTCTCTATTTTTAGTAGAGATGTGGTTTCACCATGTTGGCCAGGATGGTTTCGAACTCCTGACCTCAAGTGATCCACCCACCTCGGCCTCCCATAGTGCTGGGATTATAGATGTGAGCCACTGTACCTGCCCATAAAAATGAGTCCTTAATAATCGAAGCTTGAATTAAACTTACCTTTGAAAGAAACCCAAGACCTTTGAATGGGGACCTGTAGATTAATTTAAACATCAATGTAGGCTGTGTGCAGTGGCTCATGCTTGTAATCCAGCACTTTGGGAGGCTGAGGCGGGCAGATCATCAGGTCAGGAGATTGAGACCATCCTGGCTAACACGGTGCAACCCCGTCACTACTAAAAATACAAAAAATTATCTGGGCATAGTGGCACATACCTGTAATCTCAGCTACTCAGGAGGCTGAGGCAGGAGAACCGCTTGAACCCAGGAGGCAGAGGTTGCAGTGAGCCAGGATAGTACCACTGCCCTCCAACCTGGGCGACAAGAGCAAAAAAAACTCCATCTCAAAAAAAAAATCATCTTTGTCTGGAAACTGTAATCAGAATTTAAAGTTACAGCATCACCATTTCTTGAAAAAGGTTATTGATTCTTCTCTAATCTGACATTTTCAACCTAAGTTATTAAAGGAATTTCAGTCGCTGAAGATTGTGTACTCATGAACTCTTCACTTAGCTCATTGGCAACAAAGGAGTTTTATTTAGAGGGTTTGAAAAAGGAAATGGGTATATTTTCAGCTATCCTGTGACATACTGTCTCAATTTAAGCAGTTACAACTGATTCCACTGAATACACATCTGTTTTCTAAAACAATGATCAACATTCAGTATCTGTTCATTTAATTGAAAAGTCAAAGGGACAATATTTTCTCTGCATGATTCTTTTTTATTTTCCCCCTAGTGTTTACTAAAGGACAAGTCACCACAGGACAGTACAGGATGCTTGCCAAAAGAGGTGGATATGTCTGGGTTGAAACTCAAGCAACTGTCATATATAACACCAAGAACTCTCAACCACAGTGCATTGTGTGTGTAAATTATGTTGTGAGGTAAGTTTGAGAAATAAACATTTTTGGGAAACAAATAGTAATTCTTTTTGGATACTCTGTTCATTTATAGGAAGATAAGATTATAAATATTAACTAAATTTTATTTTACTTTCACATTTCTACCAAATTATTATTTTCCTTACTCTGACCTAGGTCACCCAGGCTAGAGTGCAGTGGCACAATCTTGGTTCACTGCAGCCTTCACCTCCCAGGCTCAAGCCATTCTTGTGCCCTGCAGAAACGGGTTTTGCCATGGTGGCCAAGCTGGTCTTGAACTCCTAGGCTCAAGTAATTCACCCACCTCAGCCTCCCAAAGTGCTGGGATTACAGGCATGAGCCACCACGCCAAGCCTCAACATCTGAAATTCTTAACTGAAATTAGTCAAAATATCTTGTACTGGGAATTTTTTTTTTAATTTCAGCTTTTATTTTTTATTCAGGGGATACATGCGTAGGTTACGTGGGTATATCATGTGATACTGAGGTTTGTGGTACAGTTGATCCTGTCACCCAGGTAGTGAGCATAATACCCAACAGCTGTTCAACCACCCTTGCCCCTCTCCCCTGGAAGTCCTCAGTGTCTATTGATGTCATCTTTATGTCTACAGGTAACCCAGTGTTTAGCTCCCACTTATAAGTGAGAACATGCAGCATTTGGTTTTCCATTCCTCCATTATTTTAGGATATGGTCTCTAGCTGCATCCATGTTGCTGCAAAGGACATGATTTCATTCTTTTTTTATGGCTGCATACTGTGAATTTTATTGGGTCTTCATTTCATATTAGCATTTTAAAACCCTAAATGTGACAAATTGTGCATGAGAGATCATGCATCTCAAGAAATCTTAAAATGTTCCTGTCCATAAAGCAGAATTTCTTAAGAGACCATTTCACAGTTCCCCTTCCCATCATGGTGTCAAATGCTCATTTATGAATTACTAATTTCTCTTGTTTTGACAGTGGTATTATTCAGCACGACTTGATTTTCTCCCTTCAACAAACAGAATGTGTCCTTAAACCGGTTGAATCTTCAGATATGAAAATGACTCAGCTATTCACCAAAGTTGAATCAGAAGATACAAGTAGCCTCTTTGATAAACTTAAGAAGGAACCTGATGCTTTAACTTTGCTGGCCCCAGCTGCTGGAGACACAATCATATCTTTAGATTTTGGCAGCAATGGTGAGTAATTATTTTGTTAATTCCCTAAACTTTTGCTGCATGCCTCATTTCGACTAAATGTTACTTTGACGTTTTTTGTTGGTAATCATTTGGACATTGCAGGCTAATATGTTGGTTTGCTTAAATATTTTGCCTCCGTAATTTCTTACCATTCTTGCTTTTGGTTGGAAATTGTGTTTTAAAGTGTCCTTACGGCATTTATTCTTCCCACATAAATTTTTCCTGGCTACTCTGCTATTTCTGTATCCTGCTGTCAGATTTTCTCTAGTTTAGCAGAGTTATATGGAAGTAGGCATTGTTGCATTAAAGGATAGTCATACCATAACATCAAACACTGAAGATGAAAACTGCAATTTTAAAGTAGAGAACATTTTAATATATAAAATGGTTAGTATTGCCTTTTGTCTTTTATACCATATAGATTAAGAGGAGGTATTATTAGTGGATTGGAAAGATAATCCAGATTTATGATTATACTGTAATATTGGTAAACTTTCTGATGAAGGAAAATTTGGTAACATTTTATTGTTTGATGAATTGTATACATTTTTTGTATGTTAAAATCCTTTTGGCCGGGTGTGGTACCTCATGCTTATAATCCCAGTACTTAACGAGGCCAAGACGGATAGATTACTTAAGGTTAGACGTTTGAGACCAGCCTGGCCACCATGGTGAAAACCTGTCTCTACTAAAAATACAAAAATTAGCTGGGCATGGTGGTATGTGCCTGTAATCCCAGCTAATCGGGAGGTTGAGGCAGGAGAATTGCTTGAACCCAGGAGGCAGAAGTTCAGTGAGCCAAGATAGTGTTACTGTACTCCATCTTGGGCAACAGAGCAAGACTCTGTCTTGAGTGAAAAAAAAATATTTGTATACTTTAGATTGACTCATATTTTTTCTCTGCAGACACAGAAACTGATGACCAGCAACTTGAGGAAGTACCATTGTATAATGATGTAATGCTCCCCTCATCCAATGAAAAATTACAGAATATCAATTTGTCAATGTCTCCATTAGCCACCTCTGAAACTCCAAAGCCACTTCGAAGTAGTGCTGACCCTGCACTGAATCAAGAAGTTGCATTAAAATTAGAACCAAATCCAGAGTCACTGGAACTTTCTTTTACCATGCCCCAGATTCAGGATCAGCCACCCAGTCCTTCTGATGGAAGCACTAGACAAAGTTCACCTGAGGTAGGTGTCATGATATAATCGGAAAGGGACAACTTTCAGATTTTAACATTCAAGATTGTATATAATTATAAGTTTGATTGAAGCACTAATTTGAACCACAAATTACATTTGTGTGTGTGTGTGTTTGAATTTTAGCACTTTAAAATTATTGCAAGAGCTATTGCTTAACTTAGACCTCAGCACATGTTTCAGGCTCAAAGATAGGAACTTGGGAAGAAACTAGCATAATATAAACCAAAAGGTGAAACATACATTGTTTCCCTATTATTTATATCAGTAGGACAAAAACGTCTTGAATTTGGACATTTTAGACTAGTACTAAGTGTGCTCAATGTAGCCACAGCCTATACCTGTTACCTTTTTGATTTTTTTGTTCGTTTGTTTTATTGTAGGTTTTTTTTTTTGAGACAAAGTCTCACTGTCACCCAGGCTGGAGTGAAGTGGTACAATCACAGCCCACTGCAGCCTCAGCCTCCCAGGCTCGAGTGATTTTCCCACCTCAGCCTCTCGAATAGCTGAGACTACAGGCCCACACCACCATGCCTAATTTTTTAACCTTTTTTTTTTTTTCCCCTGTAGATTTGGGGTTCTCACTATGTTGCCCGGGCTGGTTGTAAACTCCTGAGCTCAAGCGATCCTCCAACCTTGGCCTCCCAAAGTACTACGATTACAGGTGTGAGCTACCATGCCTGCCTGGCCCATTACACCTTTAAGTTGGGGTATTGTCTGGTAACAATAGGCTTAACAGGGTTTACATGGGAAAGGACCTTATAAATTCTTTGTCTAGTTTAGTCCAGTTTCCATCACTATTTTGAAATTTTCTTTAAGTATAACATAAAATAACAAGGCTTACATAAAATAAATACTTAGTAACTGGTCTTTTTTATTCTGGATCTGTCTTGATATTAATTGTCCTATAAAACACAACAAAAATAATCTTTAAAGGCTGGACTGACCAAGACTAGAGATGTCACACAGGGCTCTATTTCTAAATCTAGAATGATTCATTTCAGGACTTCCTACATTTAAAAATATACTAAGGAATAGGGTAACTTAGATCTGAACACTATAACTTGATAAATGAGGCATAAATAAGCTTTAATAAGTGGTAAATAATTCTACATTAAATATTTGTTGAATAAAACTGGCAAGCTAAGAGTAGGAGATTTGACATCTCATAGCCTTCTGGTAAAGGAGCATCTCCTATGCCCTGCTTGCTTAATTTACGTAGCACAAAAAAAACGTTTGATTCATTTTGGTTTTTGTCTAACAAAAGTAAATCTAACAAAAATAATAGAATGATAAAGCAAAAGTCCTTGCTTAGAATACACAGCTATAGTTTTTTGTTAAAATTCTTGCCAGAACTCTTAAAATAGTAATAATGTACATTCATTCAGGTGTATGCAGGTAAAAGCACTGAAGTCTCTACTCCTACCCTCAACAGTAGCTGTGAGATTTTTAGGTAGCTCAATCGACGTAGGAATGTGCCTTCTCATTTCATAGGTAAATTCCAGTGAATGTAGCATCTAGTTAATTGGTCAGTTAGGTACCATTGTGGGATGTAAATTATCAAATAGGTTTTATTCTTTAGAATAAGATGTTTCTTTTAATTTTAGAAATGATGTTATATTACATAGTCAGAAATATGTACATTGGCAAAATTAGTTACCAGTATAAGCTTCAAAATGTCACTTTTTTCACTAGTTAAACTTTTTTTCTTTTTTTTGGGATGGAGCCTCACTCAGTTGCCCAGGCTGGAGTGCAGTGGTGTGATCTCAGCTCACTGCAACCTCGGCCTCCCGGGTTCAAGCTTCAGCCTCCTGAGTAGCTGGGACTACAGGCGCGTGCCAGCATACCCAGCTAATTTTTGTATTTTTAGTAGAGACAGGGTTTCAGCATTTTGGCCAGGATGGTCTTGATCTCCTCACCTTGTGATCCACCTGCCTCAGCATCCCAGTGCTGGGATTACAGGCATGGACCACCATGCCGGCCTAGTTAGATAAAATTTGATAAACATGCCGGGCGCGGTGGCTCAAGCCTGTAATCCCAGCACTGTGGGAGGCCGAGGCGGGTGGATCACGAGGTCAAGAGATCGAGACCATCCTGGTCAACATGGTGAAACCCCGTCTGTACTAAAAATACAAAAAATTAGCTGGGCATGGTGGCGCGTGCCTGTAATCCCAGCTACTCAGGAGGCTGAGACAGGAGAATTGCCTGAACCCAGGAGACGGAGGTTGCGGTGAGCCGAGATCGCACCATTGCACTCCAGCCTGGGTAACAAGAGCGAAACTCCATCTCAAACAAAAAAGAAAAAAAAAAAAATTTGATAAACACGATGGACTTGGTTGTGTGTTTGTTTTTTCTGAGATCTAGTTTGAAAACTAGCAAAGTATATGGAGGCTTTTTCAGGAAAAACTAAACATATTCTTTTTACAGCCTAACAGTCCCAGTGAATATTGTTTTTATGTGGATAGTGATATGGTCAACGAATTCAAGTTGGAATTGGTAGAAAAGCTTTTTGCCGAAGACACAGAAGCGAAGAACCCATTTTCTACTCAGGTATATGAACTTCGTTTTATATTAAATTTCATTAATTTTTATTCTAAAGTGACTTTAACTTGTTTATTATTTATAAAGTGTGGCCATTGTAAAAACTCATGTATTTGCTGTTTTAAAGGACACCGATTTAGACTTGGAGATGTTAGCTCCCTATATCCCAATGGATGATGACTTTCAGTTACGTTCCTTCGATCAGTTGTCACCGTTAGAAAGCAGTTCTGCAAGCCCTGAAAGTGCAAGCCCTCAAAGCACAGTTACCGTATTCCAGCAGACTCAGATACAAGAACTTACTGCTAATGCCACCACTACCACTACTGATGAATTAAAAACAGTGACAAAAGACCGTATGGAAGACATTAAAATATTGATTGCATCTCCATCTCCTACCCACATACATAAAGAAACTACTAGTGCCACATCATCACCATATAGAGATACTCAAAGTCGGACAGCCTCACCAAACAGAGCAGGAAAAGGAGTCATAGAACAGACAGAAAAGTCTCATCCAAGAAGCCCTAACGTGTTATCTGTCGCTTTGAGTCAAAGGTATTTATGTGTAATATTCAAGTTATAGCTCTTTTATTATTTTTGAGAAAATGTATGTGATAGTACATAATTTCTAAATGTATAGCAAACTTTCTGATGTATATGCTCTAAGACAAAGTCTTAAGCACTCAAAGAACTTTCTAAATTAACCTCATGTATTTTTTCCAAAATAATTATAAATTCTAAAATTACCTATCTAAATGTAAGAGAGTCTTCTGACACCTTTAAAATGAAATCCAGCTCAGGAAGTTCTGTAATCAGATATACTTCTTGCAGTTGTTTAAATTAAACTAGTTAACTACCCTCGATACTTAGATGTTTCCATTTCTTTTTTTTTTTTTTTAAATATTTATTTATTTATTTATTTTTTATTAGAGACGGGTTTTCACTACGTTGGCAGGCTGGTCTGGAACTCCTGACCTCAGGTGATCCGCCTGCCTCAGCCTCCCAAAGTGCTGGGGTTACAGGCCTGCGCCACTAGGCCCGGCAGATGCTTCCATTGCTTAGAGCTCTTTCTTTAAGCTTATCTGAAGAAAAGCCCTTCCAATTTAAGGGTTATTTCCAATTGCACATTCCAAATTGAGCCTTCCATCTTTAGCATTCAATATAGATACTTACAAGCACCTCTTTCAAAATTTTATTAGAGTTACTTATATTAAAGTTGCTTTTATTTTTCATTACATATTTGTAGAACATTAGCTATATATATATATATATTTTGCAGGCTATGTAGGTTTTTGAACTCTACACCAGGAATCTAAGTATGACTTATGACATTACTTCTATGGAGCTAGTTCAGACAAACATATGGACGTGACCCAATTTTTAAGTTATACTTCCTGTATATAATTGGCAAGGGGATTTCACATATTTTAAGTTTGAGGCTATAGCTAGAAGAAATACGTTTTACCTTATAAGTGTGTGCTAGAGGGAAATGATTGCTACTCTGTCTAGACTGAGCCAGATATCACTATCAATAGGAAAGAACCACTGTTACAGCCAGAGCACATAGGTTTTTTTCCCTGCCCAGCATTCTCACCTTGACCTATAGTGCTGGGAGAGGTCTTTTCCCTAAGCGAGGAAAAGATCTCGGGACTTTAGATGAACTCAGAAGTACTACTTTACATTCTTTTATAACTTACTGTGTCACTCAGTTTTTACTCTGAGCTCCACTAGGGCAATTATAGTGTCTTGGGCATTTTAGTGATACTAATACTTAGCTCATGACCTAACATGTAGTACTTCCTCAATAAATGGTTGTTGGGGCAGGGCGTGGTGGCTCAAGCCTGTAATCTCAACACTTTGGTAGGCTGAAGCATGTGGATCACCTGAGGCCAGGAGTTTGAGACCAACCTGGCCAACATGGTGACACCCTGTCTCTACTAAAAATACAAAAATTAGCTGGGTGTGGTGGCAGGTGCCTGTAATCCAAGGTACTTGGGAGGCTGAAGCAGAAGAATTGTTTGAACCAGAGAGGTGGAGCTTGCAGTGAGCTGAAATCATGCCATTGCAATCCAACCTGGGCGACAAGAGCAAAACTCTATTTCAGAAAAAAAAAATGGTTGTTGGACTGACAGATGCATGAATACAGTAATATAAATGACAGTCACTTATCATTTACAGTTTACTGTTAGCTACAGAGGATGGGTATCCAGTTTTCTGAACACCTGACACATAAGGTCACTTTAGCAATTCTTTTTAAACATCAGTTCCAATGTGACATGCACTGAAAACTTTCATGAAAGGAACCTCAAAAATACATGGAAGTGTTTTTTCCTACCTCGTGGGTAATTATTTATATAATCAAAGTGCTGTACCAAACCAGGAGACTTAAAGCTTTAGGATTAAAGATAAACCATTAAAAGCATAACTACTAAGTACTATTAGTACTACAATGATGTTTTCATAATAGACTGAGTTACATTTCATAAAGACAATATATGTTTATAAGAGTTTTTAAAACCTGCCTGTATAATAGAAGGTTTATAGAATTTTTAAAAAATTAAAGAAAACTGCAAAATAAGAGAGCAGTTAGATTACTCATCTATTTGGCACTCTTAACTATCTGGAACAGCAAGGAATCTTTATGATTATGCATTTGGTTGTGGGGGGTCTTGAAAAGTCAAAATAGTATAACAAAGCTGATGCACTTAACTCATTAGAACGGTTCTTCACTATTTATTAATGTTAGATATATATAGTTCATGTTTGATAACCAGATTAATATGGAGGGCAAAATAGCAGAGTGGTAAGAGCAGGGGACAGGAGGTGTGTATATGGAGACCTAGAGTGTACTTCCATATCTGCAACTAGTGAGCAGTAGGACTTTGGGAAAGTTACCCTATAGGCCACGGGGTTCTCATTTATAAAAAGGATATGATATGCCTGTCTTATCTATCTTGAGAACCTGAGTAAGGTTAAAATGAACCAATGAACTTGAAATGTTTCACAAACTGAAAACACTATACAGATGTGAAACTGATCTTGTATTTTAATAGTCCCAACAATATCACTACATTGATATATTAGGTGGAATAAAAGGATAATATTTAACTGTTTTGACTCTACAATGTCAATTTAGTTGTGTTTGGCTCTGTTTTATAAAATAAGGATACACATAGTATAGAAAATGTTCTGCTAAAAATTAAGCTTTGAATGCCAGGTGCTCACGCCTGTAATCCCAACACTTTGGGAGGTTGAGGTGGATGGATCACTTGAGTTCAGGAGTTTGAGACAAGCCTGGGCAACATGGTGAAACCTGTCTCTACAAAAATATATGTATAAATTAGCCATAATCCCAGCTACTCGAGAGGCAGAGGTGGGAGGATCACTGATCCTGGAGGCAGAGCTTGGTTGCAGTGAGCAGAGATCATGATGTCTCTGCACTCCAGCCTGGCTGACACAGTGAGACCTTGTCTCACCAAAAAAAAAGAAAAAATAATAAAGCTTTGACTTCAGAGTTTCGCTTTTGTTGCCCAGGCTGAAGTGCAATAGTGCAATCTTGGCTCACTGCCACCTCCGCCTCCTGAGTTCAAGCAGTTCTTCTGCCTCAGCCTCCCTAGTAGCTGGGATTATAGGCATGCACCACCATGCCCAGCTAATTTTTTTATTTTTAGTAGAGATGCGGTTTCTCCATGTTGGTCAGGCTGGTCTTAAACTCCTGACCTCAGGTGATCCACCCGCTTCAGCTTCCCAAAGTGCTAGGATTACAGGCATGAGCCACTGGCTCGGCCCAGCTTTTGACTTAAGGTGATAAACTTTAGTAATCAGGAAAGTTCTCGTACGTATATTACGTTGCTTAATATTGGAAAACTAAGGAATTAGGTATTTAAAAGAGCTCACTGGGTATTTTTTTTTCTTAAATAAAACAACTATATTTTTATTTAGATTTTTTTTTCTTTTCAGAACTACAGTTCCTGAGGAAGAACTAAATCCAAAGATTCTAGCTTTGCAGAATGCTCAGAGAAAGCGAAAAATTGAACATGATGGTTCGCTTTTACAAGCAGTAGGAATTGTAAGTATGAAGGTAGTAGGTTTTGCTTTTCTAGCTAATGTGCTATTTCCGTGTGTGTGTGTGTGTGTGTGTGTGTATGTATGTGTGTGTGTGTGTGTGTGTGAGAGAGAGACAGAGAGAGAGAGAGATTCCTTTTTTCCAAATAGTAATGTTACATTTTCGGAAGTTACACATTGGGTTTTTTTTGTTTTTTTTGTTTGTTTGTTTGTTTTGTTTTGTTTTTTGTTTTTTTACTCTGTATATACTGTTCTATAAAAATACAATGTTTAATGGATACATTCTTGGTATATAAATTCTAACCAATTCCATTCCAATGTATTTTGAGTTAAAAAGTGAAGTTCTCCCTTAAACCACCCTGAGTATCACCACCAATCTCATTCTCTTCCCTTTAAGTTACTTTGCCTTATTAAAAGAACTGCTATTGGCTGGGTGCAGTGGCTCACGCCTGTAATCCTAGCACTGTGGGAGGCTGAGGTGCATGGATCACTTGAGGTCAGGAGTTCTATACTAGCCTGGCCAACTTGGTGAAACCCTGTCTCTACGAAAAATGCAAAAATTAGCTGGGCATGGTGGTGCATGCCTATCATCCCAGCCACTTGGGAGGCTGAGGCAGGAGAATCGTTTGACCCAGGATGTGGAGGTTGCATTGAGCCGAGATCAGGCCATTGCACTCCAGCCTGGGTGAGAGACTGAGAGTCCGTCTCAAATAAAAAAAAATAACTGCTATATTTTGGGATAAGTCAATGGTGATGTAATTCATTCTGATATTTTCAAACCAAATTAACTGGGAAGTATTTATAGACAGATTGGTCACAATGGATGGCAAATAACTTTATCATAATATTAAGAGAAAGAATTTAAAATAATTTAGGGTAGTATTTAAGAAACTGCCTATAATGTTATTAAATTTACACCGATTTCAAAGTTATGGTTGTAAAGAAAGTTCAACAAACTAAACTTGAAATAACTTTACTGTTTATAGGGAACATTATTACAGCAGCCAGATGATCATGCAACTACTACATCACTTTCTTGGAAACGTGTAAAAGGATGCAAATCTAGTGAACAGAATGGAATGGAGCAAAAGACAATTATTTTAATACCCTCTGGTTAGTTTATTCTTTCTGACCTTGAACATCACAAAGACGAAAATACATGAAACATTTTTATTTAGGAACTTTAATCTAAGTGAGGGTGACTTTGGTTCCTTAGCAAGATTAAAAAGTAAAGTTGTGGCCGGGCACAGTGGCTCAAGCTTGTAATCCCAGCACTTTGGGAGGCCTAGGTGGGTGGATCACGAGGTCAGGAGTTCAAGACCAGCATGGCCAAGATGGTGAAACCCCATCTCTACTAAAAATACAAAAAAGCCGGGCGTGATGGCGGGTGCCTGTAATCCCAGCCACTTGGGAGGCTGAGGCAGGAGAATAGCTTGAACCAGGGAGGCAGAGGTTGCAGTGAGCCGAGATTATGCCACTGCTCTATAGGTGGGGCAACAAGAGCGACACTCCGTCTCAAAAGAAAAAGAAAAAAAGTAAAATTGTATTTCATTTAATGGCCTTAATACAGGGATAAACATTTCAAAGTGGAACTTTCCATTTGTAGTAATTTCCTTTGAGTTGTCTATGTTTATGTGCTGTCAATATTGATAGAAGCTGAA